GGAACTCGTCCCCTGACTCACCTTCTTGTCGCGAGACGGGCCTCCTAGAAGCAGGGTCGGTCCTATCGTTGTTACTTTTCGAAAATTTTTACGACCCCCCTCCCCCAACGTGGATTTGATACGACCCCCTTTTCCCTACCTCCACCATCTCCATCTTCCATCAAAACCCCGCCCACTTTTTCCTCCAAAAATGCCGTCGAGCGGGGGGGGGGTATATAGTCACTCTGAAAACCAACGTAGGGTTGACTCTGGCCATAGGTCTATCCGCTCTCGCACGTATCCATGCTCTCTCAACACCGACTCTTTTCCCTCTCGTTGGCCCTGGTGTCCCCATCAAGGCTGAAATGTTTTTTATAATTTATATTTTTAGGGCGCCACAGCCATACAGGAAAAGTGGCCTTCATTGAAAAGTTTTCGATTAATTCTTTGCCCTTTTCATTACAATCGATTCAATCGCACCTCTACTTTTCATTTTTGAGCGCAATAATATTCCAGCGACATTTTAGAATTAAGAGCAAATAAATTTGATGAGATGAAGTTATATGGATAAATTTATGATGCGGTGAGGTAAAAAACAAGTGAATAAGGCTGAGATTGAAAAACTTTTGGAGATACGAGGTATCGAATTTTAAACTCATAATAGCCACGCCTATTTTCCAGTGACGGCGATTTCGATATCTCTCAGAAGACGCAGCACGATTTCTTCTCTGTAGGGCGGAGCCGCAACTTGAACATTCACAGGATAGCCGACCGAATCCTGCAAAGGCACTATTACCAGAAAGAACAATTTTGATGATATGAAACGCTGAAGAATGAAGTGTTTGTTGTTGTTCATTATTCTTCCGGAAATCCCTTGCATACTACCATCACCCTGGATCACAGATCTGTATGAATTGGCATGTAACACATGCATGGCTTGCAAGATCTACCCGAGGTACAGACCAATATTTGTACCCTCTTAGACAAATTCGACTTCATCCAGAGGAGGGCTGAAGGTTTGCACAGCCTTAGATCTCCGAGGTGCAGGTGCGTTCCAACCATCATTTACTTTAAAGGTAGCGATTACGATATTTCAAAAGGGTTTAGAGGAGAGTGGGGTGCTCAATGGTACGCCAGTGGCGAAAAAAGCGAGAAATCCGTCAAGAAAACGCAAAACGGGACCCCTTTTTTGGCCGTTGGTTTTCACTCATGAACAGGTAACAGCTCAGAAAGCGGACGTATGAACGAGTTCACCGCAACGCGTTTGGTGGCACCATGCCAAACCACGCTCCAATCGAGTTGCTCCAGTTGTGCCGCTGCTGGCAACGCAGCTCGTCCAAATCACCAACTAAACTAGTGGGCGGATCGCTTTTGGGGGCGGAGTGCTTTCGAAGTCCTGCTCAGCAACCAGCGCACCTTTCGTCGTGAAAGCGCCACTTCCTTGGCAGCCAAGTAAGTAACTGCTTCGTGTGGTGCATATGCTTCCCCGATGCGCTCCCTCTTTATCGTAATCGCTTCCTTCACAACAACTGATTCACCTTGCATGCTTCCTTAGCCGTTCTGTACCACAAGTCCGTCTCCGGGTATTCGTCTCGTAGCTTCTGCTCGTCACTTTCGTTCACCTTGGTGACATTCACTACTCCTGGAATTAGACGCTGTGACATCGGAAAACAAAACAGTCCATAAATAAGGAAGATCAAAGCTATAATTGCGGCGTTAATAGCAGTTATCCAATAAACACAAGTCAAAGAATGAAGCCTAGTTTCCGCACCCCTGAAGGCATTGAGCGTCATGCGTAGAAGACGGAGTCAATTTGAAGACGTTATTGGTGGAAAGGCGTCGAGGAGCGATCCGACCATAACACTCAACGCTGGCGAGGGGAGAGGGCAAGAGTTGTCGGATCTCCGTCAACGCCTTTCGAATAACAATGCTTTCCAATTTCCAGCATCTTACCTTGTCCCGCTTTTGAAACCTTTTTACTTCTCGCAATCATCCTTTCTTATAAAGGAATACAAAACATAGTACTAACCGGCTCCAAAATCTAATAGGTTGAATAAGGCGGTGTAAGCAACAGCCGAGAACAATTTTGCGGGAACATTGTGCTTTGGTGTGATGAGGACCTGAACGAGTGCTCCGCATTTAGGCGTTTAGATCGATTTTATATGAACTTTCAAAGCGCTTTCGTTGACTCAGCTGCGTCTATAATCGTAAAAGGGCATACCTGAGGTGGACAAAGAAGAGCATCGATGTGATTTTTCAACATAAGCTCCACTACGTCACCGCGATATTGTTCTATTTCGGCGTATGTTTCGCGAAGTTCTGGAAAAATCCCACTGATCAATGATTAATTCTGTGATCGATCGGAAGACCTCCGTTATGCGCCATGAATTCACATCGCCGTCTTTGTTCTAAAACGCGATGAAGCTTGTAAGGGAATTTAATGCGCAGAGAGATCCATTCAGCATGGAATTCTCCCTACAGCTTCTGCCGCCGATCCACAACTCTCTTCTCTTTCTTGTCCCGAGCTCCAGCTCTTCTCACGATTTCCCCATTCGTAAAGGAGGTCAGAGCTTAATGTGATGGAAAAAAGAAGAACAAATGCTTCCGTTTTTTCAGTGATAGTGGCTCTGGGCGATCATTCTCACCCCAACTGCCCCAGTGAAGGGCCCACAATAAGCAGTAATTTGTAGTAAATTCAAGCTAACGGTAAAGGTTGGTTTGGTCATTCTAGAAATTCTTGAGATTTTGATCGACCACTTGACCGACAGTGTTGTGACTCATCGCCCGCATCATATTTGCCAATCGAGGGAAGAACTTTTCCACGGGATAAGCCAAAAGTCGTTGTATCCAGATGGGCACCATGAATATCAACATTTGGCCGTACAAGGGAGGAATCAAAATTCCTGCAGAAAGAACTTATTCACCAGCGCAGCACAACTGTTTACGCGAAAAAATTGGTAGAGTCCATCAAAAAAGGCAATTGACAGACTTCGACTCAAATAGAAGATATAGATAAAATAAGGGTAATTCATCAGATAAAGTCCATAAAAAGAATAAAACCTATGAAAACACTGACACTGAGAGCATTTTATCGTACACGAATTTTGCCGCCAATCAAACAGCAAGAACTGCCCGAATCATCAGTAATTTCGCATCATTTGCGGAACTCTGGGCGGTTGGAACGAACCACCGTATGACCGGCGGCCTCCAGATGAGCTTTTGCTTCCAGTACTGCTCGCTGAAAGATTACTATTTCCTGTTGTTGTTGTAACTACGACACAAAAAAATATTTTCCAGGATAACTTCATTATTTTTTTTCGCCGCACGCAAGATCACGAAGAACATTTGAAGATGATGTGATCTCATCTGTTAAGAGCCTGCCACGAAGGTGGACTCCCAAGTCCCAACGGAAGGTGAAGAAGGCGCGACATGATAAACCTCAGACAGTCTTTCGCCCTGCTCATTCCAATCCATTCCGTGAGTACCGATGTGAAGTTCTTCAGCCGTTCTTCTCGGGCCAATCTTGGCGTTGAAGTCGCCGACGATGACCTTGAAGAAGGTATGATCTTCCTTGTAGAACTTCTCCAATTCCATATAAAATGCTTCGTGTTCCTCCTCGTCGTAGCTCGATGTTGGTGCGTAGGCGACGAAGATTGTCAAAGCAGGAGTTGAATCCACATCTTCTCAATCTCTCCGAAGCGTTAGGGTTTCGTACGAGTTCGATGTTCATTGTTTATGCGTGTTTGACGAGGACACCCACATCGCCAACGGCCTCCTGCCTCGCATGCATTCGGCATATTGAAGGCACACGAGTAGCTTGCCAGGCTCTGTCGTGTGGGCTAGGATAGACCTCCAGGTAGTTAGCCACGCTATCCTGGAGCGGAACAAGGGGCTTATTTTTGGAGGCGGCCCCGAATCGCCTCCCATGTACTTCCCAGTCACTTGAATGCAAGCTTTTGGCTGTGCCGACATGCAGGATACCAACCGCACACACACAGAGCGCACCACACACGCAAGCATGCATGGATGCGCCTGAGTGGAGACAGCTGGTATGAATCAACACAGCGCACTACAGAAACAGGGAGTCCATCCCCTGAATCCACCTGCGTCTCAGGGCAAGTACATGGTGGCTTTTGGTCCGCGATTTACCCCCTATCCGCCACTGGGGTCGCGCCACGTAGCCTCGCCACCAACCGGCTAGAGAACTTTCAGTGAGAGAGGACCCTCAGTTAAAGGGATCCGTGATGCACACAAGAACATTAGAAAAAACGTATTTGACGCGAAGCGCTAAAGAAAGCCTCTATTGTAGTAGCCTTTATGGCTGCAAAGCCTGCTCTGCAGTCAAGCCAGAAGCAGTACTTAATACAAAATGATCAAAGCCTAACTAAAGGCTCAAAGATTGCTCACTTGTATGGCCGGTACTGGAGTGAACCAACCATCATCGACATAGTAACCAATACGGTATTTGTTGCCCTTTCGATACATCTCATCATTCCAGACCACCGGCGGAACATAGGGGTCATTCTCAGTGATCCAGTTATCACTCCACACCTAAATAGTTTTGGCTTTATCAGGCAAATCTCATACTTCGGATTGTCACGCCATCACAAAAAAGCGGAATATGGATATCTATCATGAATACGTAAATCAATGATAATTCCAAAATGCTATAATAGGAAAGGCTGAATTTAAGGGCAGGCATTACCTCCTTCAGAAATTCCACTGATGTCAAGATATCTCTGCCCATTGGCCCTTCATTGGCATTGATCAATGGCCGTCCTGGTACTGCACCTTGATTACCACGGTGTGAAAATCGGAGATGGGACGGCTAAAAGACTTCACGAACCTAATGGTACAGAACCCGAAAATAGTATGATAGCATCAAACATAAAAATAGTGCAGGGTTTTATTTTCAGGCAGTGTACACGACAAAGTTGATCTAGGTACAACTGATGGAAGTTAAAAAGCGCTGCAAAATGTTGAACAGAGGGAGCGCTACGGCTGAAAATGCCGCATAGGCTTCGAACCTCCTTGCCACCGTTATCGCTCTATAGGATACGTAACTTCATTAGGCGAGGATATTTTTCACTTACTTAATGAGGACATTCTGGGATTTGAAAAATCTTGCATTATAAACGATGTAATGGCGCGAAAAACTAGTTATTACTCCTCACACGACTTGTTTTCGACTTTTGTTTAAGGGATCATTAGGTATCCCTATCGCATACGCTCAGAGACTGTGTACTGGATGTTGATTAGAAATGACCGCCCTTCCGCAGCTCCACTTCGACCAGATATTGCCAGTTCGAATTAGATGTTATGGAGGCCCCTCCCTCCCCCCCCGTAGACTACATTTTTTCAACCGATGCCATCAGGCGACAGGATCAGCTGCCGCGATAGCGAAAAAAATAATCTGGGCGCTTGCACAAGGCAGTCCCCTCTTCAAACAATTTAAATCTTTCGCATAGAACACTGTCGGGAAAAAATCAGAGAGCGAATACCCGCTGTTGTCAATATAACCCCAAACAGGAGCATTCGCGAGCTTGCCAGCACATTTACTATGAAAGAGATGAAAGACGATACCTTAATACCAGCCATGCCTGTGAAATGACATGGAATCCTAATCGAACCACCGACGTCACCACCAATTCCAATAATAGATCCGTCCGCGGCCAGAGAGCGCCGCTTCTCCTCCTGAGGAACCACCAGGGGTTCGCGATCTGTCCATAGGTGTGTTTGTAGTGCCTGAAGTGAACCATTATGAGTTCAAGCTTGCTTCTTCAGGCTCCACAAGACGCCAAAGATAGAAATGCTTCGAAAATTTCAGGGTATATTACCGTAAACAGGATTGCTACAGCTGTAGGCCAGCAACGACTGCGGGACGTTTGTTGACATAGGGAATGAAACCTGAAGTATAGGGAATGGTGTAGTTCACTTTATTACCCGAGAAAAATTCTAAATTACGTGAAAATAAGGGGGAAACTGACCTAAACTGCTTAATTTGCTGTATGAGCACTGAATCAGACTTCGACGGCTTTCCTACGTCCTGCACAAAACCACGAGTTGTGTCATAGCCTTCCAGCTAAAGATCAGACATAAAAATAAAAGCACTTACGATTAGACAGAATAAAACTTGCTTATACAGGAATGCATTCCTTCAGACTGAATTGGAATCCCGAAAAACGCGCGGCTTGGTGAAATTAGGGGCAGTGGCCTTCTCATCCCATTCAGCAGCCCAACGTTCTGCTTCCTGCAATAAAAAGCTCTTCACATTCCGCATGTGAGCTTTGGAACGCTAGTAGGGTCTTTCAGATGTGAAGCGTCGTAGAAAAAGGGGCAAAAAAAACCAAGATGAAGAGAATACCTTGATGAAGAGCGTGACACTGTTTGTTTCGGCGTGAGCTCGAAGTGCCTTGTACTGATAGGTTCGCAACACTCTCCAAACATGACACTTTGCCTTTTTGAAGATTTTCTGCAAATAGGATTTTCTCTCAAGTCAGATCTGCCGACCTAAGTTTCAAAAAACTGTGACAAGAACAGGTGCTCGTCCAGTCGTCGAGGACCCGATGGCAGTGATCACGAAGCTGGAGAGCGGCGCAGTTTTGATGCTGTCATTGAACATCATTGGTGGAGGAGTTAAGAGGCGGTCTAAGGCACATTCCAGGCGCGAATGGGTCTACTCCCCAAAGGACATTTGAACGACACCTCGAATACCGCCCGTCAAACCGTGCGTGCGTTATTCCCTTCGATAAAGAGAGTCTGCAGCTCCAATATTTACATGAGTCGATTAATCAGCTCTGAGTAGCAGCCACTGACAGGATCTCACAGCACACAACAACCATTACGTTGTGAAAAAAATTACCGACGACTAGAGTCGTAATAACATCACATTTCTGCCTTGAAAAAGGTTTCAACCAGGGTCAACCGTCCGTTGGACAAAGTCCAACGCATGGCTCTCTAGCGTGTGAGAGTAATGCCGAGAGTGAACGTACGCACGGAGACACAGACGGCTCGCGCAAGGCGAGTGCGAATGCCGGCGCGGAGAGCGGTCAACGTCGGTCCAACGTCGGTCCAATGTCGGTCCAATGTCGGTCCAACGTAACGGTTGACCCTGGTTCATACCCCCACAGCTACCCATTGGCCACGGTTTCCTGAAATTACTTCCTTTTATCTCCTAGAATAGTCCGTTAAGGGAATGCGAAGGAGGAGAATCTCTTTACAGAAAATTTTTTTCTACAGAAATCGCCTTCATTTACCTTACAAGGTGCTTCGTAGAATCAGACACTCAACTGTTATTTCGAGTAAATAGGACTCAGCAAAGTCAGTCAAGCAAATTCCAATCTTTTGTATGCTGCTTGTTTCTTGCGCACTGAGGTTCTTTCTCCTCTTCCTTCCATTTCACTTTCCTCCCTGATATTTCGCCTTTATTCCTTTTCGAACACTGTTAAGAATCGAAAAGACGGCTTCATATGTTTGATTCGAATTCCGTCACCAGGGAACTAAGAGCGGATTGTTCTAAGCTTGGTAAAACAATTTCCTAACGCTCGTAATATTCGCCAAACCCTCTTAACTTTATGAAGCTATGTTTTTAAGGAGTTCGAAGAAGAACTGCTGCACTGAACAAGTTTCCCTTTCGCACCTTAACACATTCACGCCGACGGCCGCCCATATGGGCCGCCAACAACACTTGCTTTCTGGGAAAATTGCAGCCTATATGGGCTGCCAGCTGATAATCGCTTGCCAGGCGCTAGGAATGGACAGATAGGTGGGTAAATCTCGTAATCGAGTGAGAAATGCTTTTAAAATCCTTCACGGGGAAAGCGAATAAATGCTCTCTTTTCGTAACCACTATTCGTCGTTCTGATCGAAATACTACTATTATATGTTTAGATAATCTTTACACATTGAACATTGCTGAAATCATTTTGTGGCATTTGTTTATTTACAGTACAAAATCTGAGGTGATGTGGTGAGGCGGCGGCGCCCACAAAATCGCGTCCGTCCCACGCGACCGAAAAGTGGAAAAGGGGCGTCGGCGTGAATGTGTTAAAGGCAAGCCCTGGCATGGAATGGGTGTGGAAGAGCTTCCTGCAATGAAGATCGAAGTGAGTGGTTCAGTTAAGAAAAAGAAGGAAAGAAAAACATAGTAAACTCAGAAATACGTAAAGTTCAATGGACTATTTACTCAGAACTACCGGAGTAACCCTGGTGGCGGTAAGAATTTGGTGGCAATCAAATTTACCACGACTTTTAGCTACTTGTTACTCATAACAAGTTACCGTCTACAGTTCCTTCTTGTCGTGTACCTCATACCTTCACGAGCTGGACCTCTGTTTCTTTTTTACCCAGCGCCAGAGATCACGATGGCTCAAGTTGTACGCTATTGGTAGAAGGGCATCAAGAGGCGGTCCCGACCCTCCAGCTATCGTGACCACTGTCTTTAAATGGCTTGCAACTCAGCAGCTGCAATACTTACCTTTCAGCTCGACAAAGTCCCAAGCAGCTATTTTGTTCCTTGTTGCCGGATTCAGTTTGGCGCACGAGACCTCCGCTACAGCAATCGACTCAGCTCGTTCGTATTCCCGTTTTGCAACTACATGATGTAGTTCTTTTTGTCTCTGAAGGGCAAACTCATAAATTTTTTTCTTCCGCGCAGACATTATTTTTTTTTCTACAAAAGGAAGACGTTTCAAAGAAAAGTGTCGGCAAACATACTTGACCGAACAAAAGTGCTCGCAAGAACAGCTATAATTTTTGAAAGAAAAGCCAACAGAGAATGAACGAATTGAACTCTGATCTGTCGGCAAACACACTTGACCCAGCAAAAGTGCTTGCAAAAACAGCTATGATTTTCCAAAGAAAAGCCAACAGAGAATAAATAGATTGAACTCTGATCAGTGATATGACAGGAACACTTACTTGTTGTCGTTTGGAGTACAGATGGAATAGGTAAGCAGCACCCAGTATAAGAGCCACCAGAAGAAGCATTGTGGCTGAAATAACACGGAAATAGTCACCGGTGCCGTTTGTGCAGCCAGCAGCAGGACGTGCAATGAGTACGTTCACAATTCCATTTCATCAGTCCTCGCAATAAATGCCAGCTAATAATCTTATGGAAAGCGGTTTCAATACCACTCGAGTAGATAACTTATAACCGCACCATTCAGCTCCGATCATTCCCGTTGGTTTCTATAATTTTGTTCATAACACTGATGAGTGAAGGTCGGCTAACAAGGCAACGAAAAAATGGGAAATTACCGGTGAAAATGAAAACACACAATCGCTAGTTGAAAACAAGAAAGAAAAGAGGCGAAGAGCGCAATTTCATTCAATGAGCATAATGCAAAACTCGCCCATTAGAAATCGATGGAGGTATGGGTTTTAGCGAGGTTATGAGACTTATTTCACTGTTTCCGAAACATTTCATTACCCAAAATAAACTATTTGCAAGCAATATGTATGTCCGAGTAGATAACTAATTCGCAATTATTAGGTAGCCAGTAAATTCATTAGATGAACTATGGCGAAGTTGGTGCGGAGGAAAGTGAGTACGTGGTGACCTTGACCACGAATGTAGCGAAAACCGATCCCTCATCGACCTCTGGCCTTTAAACCACTTCGAACGAATCGACATTTTTGCACTGGGAATAAGTGAAGACTCAATATGCTTCATT